TTGTGCTCAATGTGACTGTGGGCTATATTGGGATGATTGTTGATAGGGGAGGTGGTACCAATTTCGAAAGAGATGATAGCATGGTCGTCTATTGAGCTATCCAATACTTTCCAGTTGGTGATTGAAGAATAACAGCTAGCAGAACAGGCTGTTACATCAATCCAGCTGTGACCCTGGCTTGATGTGAAGGTAGCTGGGGAATGGGGATTATTGAGGATGTGCAGACCGTTACGGGCAAAAAAATCTTCGAGTAGGCGGCCACGGCGGTCCAAGAGTTCACCTCCCCAAGCAGGGGAGTGAGCATTAGTATCTCCAGCGAGTATAAAGTAAACATCATTAAAGGTATTCATGATGCACTGGATATTGTTGAGGAGAATATCAATGTATAGGTTTTTTCGAGAATAGTGTTTAATAACAATATATCTGTAATTATTGACGACGATTTCTGTACAACAGATGTATTGAGTATTTAAGATCCCATGATGGAGGAGAGAGAGGTTATGATTGGCAACAATGGACACAGCCCAGGAGTAGTCGATGGTGCCCCTGAGCAGTGTACAGGTGGTAGGGAGACAAGCAGGTTTATTTTTTATACAATATGGCTCTTGTAAGGTAATGAAGTCGTAGTTGTGCATGAAACTATTGAGTATGGACGTCGCAGCTATCTTTCTTCTAGCATTATACTGTACAAAACCGATTTTGTTATGATTTTGTCTGGCTATAATCAGTTTGTCGTATTATGTTGGACTTTATTTTCTGGAAAATGTGGCAGGAGCCATCTCCAGCATTCTGTTCATGGTTGCCGACCTTCTCATGCTTGCAATTTATGCAGATGGGTTTTTTGTCTTTGTTTTCACACTCCCTAAAAGTGTGATCGCCAGCACAATGGCTGCAAGTTGCAGTAAATTGGCTACAGTTTCTAATGGAATGGCCATATCTGCAGCAGCGGAAACACTGCAGGAAGGGACAGAAGTCTGCAACCCTGCAGCGAGACCATTCCAAGCTGACTTCACCGAGCATTAATAGTTGTTTTCGAATTTGAAGTGTTACTTCAAGTATTTAATTTGTGAAGCCATTTACTTTTTCCCCATGGCGAATTTTACTTTGAAAACCTTTCTAAAATGTTCTTCTGTGGAAATTCCGGCTACGGTATCATTTTGATTAAAGATGTGCTGCGCAAGCTCATCACTGGTAATTTGAGCAGGCACAGAAAAGAGTATGATGTTTGGTAGTCGTTTCCTTAATTGTTTTGTTAATATTTCAAAAATTTTTTCCTCTATATGTTTTTGTAATTTAAGAGCATCTGCTGTTTTTTTCAGTTCAACGGACAGGCTACCGTTACCAATGTTTCTGATTCTTTCTATACCTATATTTAATTGTGACGGTTTAATCCTTTCATATATAAGTTTTCTTAGGTTGTTGCAACTTTTGTCATTGTTATTTTGGTACAGAAGTAAACTTCATTGCTTAATGTATAAGTTTTCGGGGGTTTTATATTATTAATCTGATTTATGGTCTTCCCCGATTGGAGGATAGCACTGTACGTCAGTGGTTTTTCAGTGGGAGTGGAGTTAAAGTTTGTAATTACACGTAATTGGTTTATTTTTCCAGAAATCTCCTTTAGTTGTCCTGTAGGGCCTTTTTGATTAAGCTTTTCGGAGATGTCTTTCACTTTTTTGTGGATCTTCTCGTTGCATTCTGTCCGGCCATCAATCTTGGTGATGATCTCTGCAAGTTTTTTACTGAGATCAGTAGAGTGGTAATCAGGTGTTAGTTTATTTCTGGGTGGCAGCAGGATGGGCAATGTTGGGGTCATGCCGGTAAGCAACGACTCGTTATGATTAGGGGACACAGGTCTCTTACATATGGAAGTTCCCAGGGATGAAGGGACACACATGTCGTTGGTTATCCCTATTTCCGTGGGTTGCATATCTGGAGCATTCCCTCCCAGAGGAGAAAATGCACGGGCTGGGTCTTTTATTGTAGGAGCAGTAGAGGTGAAATGTTTCACCGGTGAACTGAGTTCGTTATTGGTAGATTCAGCAAAGTCTATAATCTTCTGGATCTGATTGGAGATGTATCGCACATGCTCTGCCGTGTCGAGATGTTTGTTGCGATTGTCCGCGCAGTAAACTTTAATCTCGTCGGCGATTTTATGTGCATTGTCCAAGAACGTCGATTGCATGTTAGAGTCCATGGTGCACCAATAATTCACGCAGAAGTAATCACAAATTTCGTCAGTGATGCAGAGAGAATTATAACTACAAAGTGAAATAACACGCGATCGCCAGCAAATAGTAGCTCGGCAACAACCGGCAAATTAAGAAACCGAATTAGGATCAGGTAGAAGAGTAAGAAAAGACGCAATATAGAACAAATTCAATAATACAAGGAAAAACTATAAATTTACACGCTACCGACGATATACGGCTCGTTCAAAGGGACCCAAAAGCAGCGCTCCAAGGAGCGAGACAAGCGACCGAATTAGGGTCGGTTAGGGGAGAGCACACGACCACCTGGCGAGGACAATGATCGCTGACCCTTTGTTAAAATTTGTCACGATTACTCGCGAGAGAAAGAAAAAGAAAACCAGAAGCCGATAAATTAAAATAATAACAAGGGCAACGTTATCTAATAGCACGCCAAAATCAGCGCCGATGGCCAAATAGAACAGCCGAAAAGAACGGCCGAAAGTTGCCAATGACGGTCGCGGTTATTAAGTAACTAATAAACAAAAATTGACAATAAAGATATCACACACCGAATTAAGAGACGAGAACAACGGAATAAACATCAGAAACCGATGACACAAAATTTCCGCTAAAAAGCCGTTCGTTATACGGCCACGTGGTCGCGGCCGAAAAACTGCCGTAACTTAATCAAAGAAAAAAACGTTAAACGGCGTTCAAAAGAGCTCGTTTTAAGCTTTAAAATGATATATATAAAACACTCACCAACGTTGAGTTAATCCGAAAAAGACGCAATCCGAATATCTATATCCAACATAGTTGAAAACTCTTTTTCACTGAAATATGCATAAAATTTGTATAATTTCGCGGCCCCCGTCAAACTTCTTAAAAACTCCCATGGGGCCGCTGCCCCCTTGTTAGGAAATACTGCTCTAGAGTGTTGCAGATGACATTATGTTGGAAATGAAATTGGTTTCCAATACAGATATCAACCCAACGTATGCCAGTAGAAGAGGAATAAGTGGAGAGAGTACTCGTATTCAAGTACTCGTACTCGTTTCTTTTTATATTATAGTCGCACAAATTAAATATATATTACTGTACATATGAATTTTAACAAGCTCTAAGATTATATAAAGAAAAGGCTTGTTAGAGGCTACTTTTGGTTAGAAGCAAATTCAAAAATAAGTTAAGGCTTTTGAGAATTAAAATATATTACACTATACACAGAAATTAGACATAGAATGTATTGATACTTCTCCAAGAAATTAAAACTTATTTATACAATTTTAATAAATACGTTTTAATTTTTTGAAAGATACAACAGAAGTGTGCTTTGTGTTTTTGGTAATAAACATTAAAATAACTAATACTAAACTGAAATATACTGTGTACAGGGTTAAATGTAGACATATTTTAATACGTATATAAGAATTTCAATTGCAATATATTTAAAAAAGAGTTTGGGACATAAATGTAAATTTTTATTTTATAAAGATGCTAACAGGATGCTTAGAAATGCAGAATGCTAATAGTGAGAGACAGACAAACATTTGAATTATTGAAACACTTCATTCCATTATACTGATTTTTTTATAAGTTAATTTTATAATTTGTCCCAGATATTTTTGCAATATATCATTTTATATTTGTCTATTAATTACTTTTATATAAACTAATTAATATAAATAATGTTTCTACATACAGATAAGTAGAAAGATCTAATATGTACGCAACATTATTTCAAAAAAAGTTTTTGAATTTTAATTAAAAGATTAAAATAAACGGCCATTATTAAATATAAATTTACGAACTATGCTTTAACAACTTTAGAAAGTTCGTGTATCTTTGCATTAATAAAGTTTATTGTTTGAGATTTAAAAATAAAGTCTAGAGTTATTTATGATATTGTGACTATGGCAAAGCACCCCCCCCTATGCTTCGGCACCACAGGACCAATGAGTGAAGATCGCGTCAGCGAAGACTGCGATGACTAATTTGTCGGGACTGACACTACTATGTTTTCTGGGTAGACACAGAGACATTTATACCAGTGTTAGAAGAACACTGGTATAAATGAACAAGGTTGCTTCATCAATAATGTAAATTTTTGTAGAATTATAAGTATATAGAATTACATTTGACCAAGCAGCGTTTGCAGGAGAATAACTCTAAATGTAAGACACAAATTATGGATTCGTCACTCTGGAAATGCCCCGTGGGCTTCACAAATACTTCGGCACTACTCGCACAAAAAAATCTTACTTTCGTAGAAGGTTAACTTGAAAATCTTGTTATTGTCTTTTATAGACAGTTGGGCATGTTACAGCAGTCCCAAATGTTAGCCAATGCATTGAAGTGCACTTTAAGAACTTATTTAAAGAAACTCCTTTTTTTCTTTGCACTTTCTTATATTCTGCACATGACAGTCACTCATCATGTGCAGAATATCAGGAAATGAACAAGCATTACAACTTCAGTTGCATTCTCCCCAACTTCAAATAATGCTTTCAAATATACTTTACGAACAGTATAAATACAGCAAGTCCCAANGTTATATAAGCTTCAGACAGGTATTTCAAACTTCATGAAAACAAACTAATATTGAAATACTAAATACAAGTACAGTAATTTTGAAATGAAAAACAGAATTAATAAATCATAACAGAATTAATAAATCATACAGTTGACTCGAAAATCTAATAATTGTTTCGATGTTATTATTACAAAAACAATCGAGACGATCGATGTATTGTAAGGCCGTTTATTTCGGCCTTACAATACAAATTTGTAGTTTGTAGTAGTAGGGCCGTAAGATTTCGAGTGCTCGGGAGCACGATTTCGTTTGACGTGCAACCCGAAAGCTTCAATGCAAGGATTCTTAATATAGTTACGATGCTTTTTATTACAGGATTTATAAATAATTAGCGCCAGGTACACCACAAATTACACGCTCCGTCTGACCCATTTTGGAGTGCATTAAGCTGCACTCCAGCACTTAAGCATTAAGTGGTCCTCGGCGCAGGTAGGTATTACGAAACGAATTCTAGACCCGGAAACAAATAGATGGACGAGATAGACGATGACCTAAGAAAAAGAAACGACGACCTAAGAAAAAGAACCGACGACGTAACGATGGTGTTTGCAGAGTGGCGAAAAGTTAGAAAGATATCGAGGTTTTTGATCCACGAATCAACTGCATTAAGTGCGAAGAAGCACGAATATTTGGAGGATTTTGACGGTTTCGTTACAACACATTCTTACAAACACCACTCGCCGTAACATTCACAACTGAACCATTATTTAGTTTGTTCGTCGCATCCAATCATTTACATATCACGCTTCGTTAAAGTAAACGACACCGTCACATAACACCGACACCGCTTTCCGAAATCCAACCCCTAGGTCCTCGTCCTGGGAAGTGGAAACGTCGCTCGATGTTTTCGAGTGGCGGCTAAAGGGGCTCTGGTACACTGGATATATTATATACACACTACAGTTGTGTAAATCTCTCTGGTGCAACTTCGTCAACAGAGATATGAAGGATGTTTGCAAAATGCTAAAACTTTCTAATCATTGAAGAGCACTATTTGGCCAAATACTGAATACCTAAAACGGGAGTAAAAAATAACAAAAACACAGTAAATTAATCATTTTAGTATTTAAATTTACTATTATCGGTTTGGCGTTATTTGTTTATATTTATTTATAACTTATAACATGCATAAAATAAAAAAGAAAATAATGTTAGTCACATGTACTCGCAATTTATAATTACAAAGATCAGCTCACGTACTGTACATACCTACTCGTTCGAGAATCGTCGCAAATCCGAGGGTCTGACCTTGCCTATCTCCAAAACAGACAGCATTTCGCTGTACTGGCATAGTGTAAAATCGATCAGTATAAGAGTTGCGCTTAAAAGTTTAAAGCCTTTTTTCTCGGAATCTTCTGGCTAGTGCGCTTTACAATTATTCTGGGTTGGTACCCTTGAGGTATACTACTAACCTACAAACTCTCATCCCGAACCGAATTTCCGAGACCGTAAGGTCCGCTTGTAAGTACCTAACACTACCTCCTCGTTTCCACGTATATCGTCGACCCACATGTTTAATTTAAATATTCAAATAAAATCCTTTTATATTTCATGCAACTAACATAAAATTTAGTTCAACTACAATTCACGAGATAGGATGCGAATAACAATTATGCTAACTACTCTCAAGCTCCTGCGTATCGAACAGAGAGATTTTGTTGAACTCCCGTGTCTTCTGTAATTTAACTATTTTGAACAGAAAGGAACCTACAGTAAGTGTCACATAAGTGAGATCACAAAGCCACGACTTTTCACACTGATATTATACAATCAAAAAGCATCATACTGCGGTTAAAATATCCTACGCTTTCTATGTAATATTCAATGAATACATAATAGTATATTAAGATTTATTTAGCTAATTTAAATTACATAAATTATGAATTATACACATAACTAATAACTACATAAATTCTATTCTCTGACACATACTACACATATAAATATTTGTCTTACTGTAAGAGTTAGTTGTTGTTATTAGGAATGGGACAAAGTTCTCATTTGACGAACTGCACGTTTTCAAAATAGTTATAAGAATAATTATTTAATTATAAACTTTATAGTAGCTTATACATTAAATTACTTTTTATAAATTCTTAAAGCTTATCTTGATATTTAAAACATTTCGGTTTGAAAGACATGATAATGATGCAAATATGATAAGAATTTGCAAGAATATATGTGCCATTATTCTGAAAAAAAAATGCTTAAGCCAAATGTATTTATCGTTCTTGCTTTCAGTGTTCACTGGGTACCAAACTTTTCATAATTATTTTATGATTAGTGCTTTAATTAATTTTAGTTAATTTACACAGTCAGATTTACGTATTTTACAGTAAAATTCTTAATATTTTCAGTTGTGTTTAAAATTATATATTTTTAAATATTCGCAGATAAAACAAAGAATAGAAATTGCATAACCAATGACGAGAAGAATAAAAGTACTCATCATGTCTACTAAAGATAAAGGATTATAAGACGATTCTTCAACATTTTTTGTTGGTGGCATCAGATCATCGGTTAATCTCTTGTAAATTTCAGAATCTCTTAAATTTCTAATTCTGAAATTAAATAAATAGAATTATTTACTGATAATGTATTTTTTATTTATTTTCTAATAATCTGAAACGAACATTTACCTATGTAAAATGTATGTGAAAATTATGCATTTCTTTATTGTAATATATATTATCAAACTTCTAATCTGAGAGCTTTCTCTTTCAGATTATTGACGATGAATTTAGAAAATCTCTGATAGGAAGAATCAATAAAAAAATGTGAAAAAATCTATATTTTCAATGTAAGCTATTCATCGAGTTAATGTAATTGTATAATAATTTAAAACGCTATTCTTTAAAATTGCAGAAGAACAGAACTGTCCAAAATGCATATTTAATAATGTAAAACAACCAAAAAAGTTTATTGGTGTCCAATTGAAAACACTTTCGAAAGGAAATCCTCAGATTAGAAGCAAATATGGAAGCTCAAATAAAGAAGCTGAATAACATTAATCTTGAACAGAAGAAGCAAATTTCATTTGTTTTATCTTGCATCAATTTTAAGTGAGACGATTAACCGTTTCAATANAAAACACTTTCGAAAAGAAATCCTCAGATTATAAGCAAATATGGAAGCTCAAATAAAGAAGCTGAATAACATTAATCTTGAACAGAAGAAGCAAATTTCATTTGTTTTATCTTGCATCAATTTTAAGTGAGACGATTAACCGTTTCAATATGTTTGAAGAACTTTACAGGTATATACTCTTGGTACATCAAGATTGAAGCCATTGGAGTTGTTTTTAATTTTGTAATTTCTTTTACAGGTAAAGTTGAGACAAAGCCAAGAAACAGAAATTCGACTTATTTCGATGGCAGACATCTGCAGAACGTAAGACGTTTCGAATACTTTAATAGGATGTATCCGGGATGTAAAATGTCACATCTGGATGCACACTATCAATTTCTATTATCACTTTACACTGACTGCAGCTTCTTACCATTCAAATATATTTCATTTCATTTCATTTTTATTAAGTGTATAAGGCTTTCGCCTGTTACAAGGGCGATATTTGTTAATACAACATATTAGCCCTGAATGATTCGTTTAGATACCTTTAAACAAAACTCTTAAATACTCATTATATAACTTAAAGTTATAACTTTTTTAAACATATATTTACAATATAACAAACATCTTTCGCGAACAAACCTTTAAGAATGTTATTATTCCACTAACTCTAGTACTTTCACTGATTAGTATATATCTAACTGGTTTACACATTATATAAATAATACTTTCGTTAACATATGATATTAATCACCATTTAAAGACATTTTAACGTCAGAATGGCCGAGCGGTTTAAGGCTTAAGGTAGACCCCTCCTGTAATTGCGGGAGCTTGCATTGCATTCAAATACAGTAGAGCGTCGTTTATCCGAATCAATTGGGAACTGGGGTTGTTCGGATAACTTATTTTTCGGATAACGAATCATGTACGAAAAAATATATTAATTTATCCCTTGTTGAAATTTCTCTCCGTTGCGTGTCGCTTCGCGTTGAATTTTCGTCGATGTTAAGCCTAACGAAGACTATTGTATCTAGAGGATTTAATCTCGGGATCTCGAAAATCGGGATCCCGGGATCCCGACCACTTTTCAGTCCCAAAATTTTCGGGATTAAGTTTTCCTAATCCCGAGATTTTCGGGATTGACATCATTTTAAAAAAGTTGCAAAATAGACTGCATGAAGCGAACGTTCAGTGCCAGTGCTTTTAACAGAATTGCTTGTCTATCATTTTAATATAAAATACAAGAAATTTTATTCCAAGCAAGCATCAGAAATTAACCTAGCGGGCTTGAGATGCTTCATTAGAATAAAACTTCTTGTATTTTAAACTAAAATGATAGACAAGCAGTTCTCACTGGGTTACTTGGTAATATACTTCATTTTTGTATTTTGGAATTTTCGCGGGCGCCAATCGATTTTCTGGCGCAGTCGAGAGCACTAGTCAGTGCGTTTTACCTGTCAATGTATCAGCCATCTCGTTTTGCCAGTGTGGTTAATATAGACTCGACGTCTCTCGCTTAGGGAGGGCGACCTTAGGTGAAAAGGTTAGGTCCCTAGCTTTGCCCGCGATCTGTCTGGATAATGCGAGAAAGTCTTTTTACGTTTGCGGGTAGTGGTTTGCTGGACGCCGAGAGACTCACACAGAGACCAAATTTACAAAACTAACGTGTTTATTTTTAGAAAGACATGCTTACAATGAAACAATCGGGATTGTAGCCTTTACTCTTACAATCCCGATTTGTGTTGACCGGACTGTTTTCTTCCAACCTCTCCGTGTCCTCGAAGCTATAACTAGAGCGGGCTTATAAGTATTTACTAACGATTCCTCCAACTTCCATCAAACCTAAACGCGTTTTCTCAGCAGCTGCATATATGTGCAACAAATTGAGAAGCAGACTTGGTGATGAGACAC